TCAGAGGAAGAGTTGAACTTTCGCTTCTCGGTGCTTATTATGTAGATATATTCAGTGTGATTGGAGTTTTAACTGGTGCTTTCTACATTACAATTAACCTGGTTCTTCAGTAATATTTTTGGCAAAGCAACTGAAGAGTCAAAAAGATTGTTTACCATGATAATTTAGGGCTGAGACTAAGATTTTAGATCTATAATTTCATAGGCTTACAGGCAGCTCCCACGTAATTCACCGCAACAAATCAACACAGAATAAAATATATTAAGACGTTGGTCACTAGACTCTAATTCTTAATTTTTTTTTCGTCATCATTACACGGAAATAACTGGTGCCTTAGAGTGTGAATAAATTAATGAGGACTATTAGTTTCATCTGGATTCATTCAACTTTTTTTCTCTGAAATGTTTCTGAATTCCAATAGAAACTTCTCTCATTACTGACCCCTAGATAAAACAAACATTTGTGAGCAAGAAGGTAAATTAGTTAATGAGTTTTTGAACCTTCATAAATTGAATTAATTGTGATGTATTGTGCTTCATGAGTCACTACTACCATTTTAACGGAAGTAAGCTAACTCTGTAAAAGGAAATCCGGTTATGAGCAGACCAAGAAATGGGATCAGAATACTAATTTTAACTGTGTGGAGTAGAGTGTTCTGTCTTGTTGAAGTCTAGGAGAAAAGTGAATTCTATGTTTAGAAACTTTAAGCTATTTGACTGTCATATGATCAAAGCACCCATCACATATGCACTTACATTTTATCGTCAAGTGATACTCAGAAATCTACCCAGTTACGTCGATAACTATGATAAACATTACTATGCATTTAAATCCCGATAAGAGGAGGCTTTTCTATGACTGCATTAGAAAGCCTATTGATAAGTGTTGTACAGCTAGAAGTGTAAATTTTAACTATGTTATGTACTACTTCTTAGCATTCATTTTGGTTCAAATGTTCTACTATGTCTGTGCAATGTCCATATGATTTACAGGTTGATTAAGGACTTCTTACTTTTGATATTTTCTTGAGTATATGTACCAGTTATCATACTGGTAGTGTCCAACTGATATATATTATGATACTTTCAATGAATGCCATTAGGTTTCAGTTTTTCTATGTCTTATGCAAGAGCAGTAAGTATGGTTATTCTTTAACGGTAGCGCTGTAACATTCTAACTCATTTTTCTATTTACAATCAGTTTCCTTTCGTTTCTGCCTAGTTTTCACCTTTCTTTGCTTTACTTCCCCTTCATTATTTTCTTCCTTTCACATCTGACTATTCTAAGCTGTCTTCTTCCGTCTTGCCTTCCTTCATTCATCGCCTTTCATTTTATTTACTATATCAATGCTTCTGTCCACCACCTCGAACACCCACTTTTACATCTGCGTTAAAAAAACCCAACCTTTATGCTCCCTTCAATGTAACAGTAGTGGTAGTATCCGCCCAATCGTGTGTAAATATGGAAATTATCATCAGATAGTCGGTTGGGTGTACAGAAAAAGAAACAACAATAGTCATACACACACACACACACACTTTCTGCCTGTCTTTGCGTGTGTTATAATTTATTTCATTTTATCATTTGGTTAATTGTATGTGAAACATGTTTAGTGAAAATGGGTGATGTGATTTATGAAAATATTGAAAAGTGAAACAATATTAGTTTAGTCCTCTTACTCATTCTTGTAATGACAGTAGTCCAGTTAGTTTAGCTAAACACATATGGGATCACTCTTAATCATAAGTGGACACTGACAGCTCACTCACACATACTTACAAGCATACGAGAATTAGGACTGTTTCACCTGCGTAAATTACCTAGCCTATAAGGATGAAATATTTGATTTTTATACCTAGTCCTTGAGCTGGAGAGCTTGACTGTATACATCTATCATACTTGTTAGGGTTAAGAAAAGAGGTCATAAAATTTGTACACTGACATGCTAATGATATTTCCGATCATCTTGCTGATCTACTGGAAGACAGAGATAGTCATGTTACTTCTGGTTTATAATTCTGAGCCACATCTGTTATCATGTTATGCTTTAGTTCCTAATCATTCTCAATGATAAAACTAGTTACATTGTCAAAAAGCAGCATTAAAAATACTTATTCACTGTATGATATATAAACTTTCAAAATATAACTAAGTGCAGATTGAAACATATTACCTATGTGGATAATTTACCTGATATTGCTGTGAAAAAATCATCTCAGAGACGTAGATACAAGTATCTCTAACGTTATACAGAATTCTGGATATCACATTACGCTATCCTTTGTCTTATGTTATTCGCTTTTTAGTTTTCCATCTAATTATTTTGATGACTTCAGATGTGATTATCTGGTCGGTCGCGTCTCTGAAACGCTGTCTTAATTATTCTGTGGCTAACAGTCCACTCATACAGAAATATGTTTCTCCAAGCAGTTGGTTAGGTAGGCACCCATAGTCAGATACGAATGAATCATACCTCAGAAATACTCTACGGGATTCTATATAGTCATTGCAAAGCACTCCTCATTACTGTTTCTTGACACACTTGTAATTCTACGTGGTTACAGTGGATCGAATTGTTCGACCTCTGTTGGAGTATGGGCTCTTATACGGATGCCTCAATCTTACCTGAATATTTATGATAATTTACTTGGTTCTGACTAGCAGGGGAATCCAGGAAGCGCATTGCGTCCTACGAGTCCCAACTCAACCAAGTAAGTTATCATGATAAGTATTCAATTAATATCGAGGCATCTGCATATATACCCATATCCCAACAGAGGTCGAACAATTCAATGCAGTATAACAACAGAGAATTACTAAAATGTTAGCAAATAGTAATAAGTAATACCTGTTGTACAAGAGGGGACTGTCGTACTTTAGTGACCTAGTGGAGGACTCTCTGGTGTCTGAAGCGGTGGGTACGAGGTTCAAGTCTCAGTAGTAACAGCATCACTCACTTGAATCCAGGTACATCCAGCTGACCAGTCCCAAATAGGATGAAATGCGAGTCCTGGATTCTACTGCTATCCATAACCCAATAAATCATATTCTTCATTGCCAAAGAACCAACGAAGACCCGAAAATATCTTCAAACTTCTCAGCAGTGTACAAACCACTCCACATGGGGTTAGTTTCAAAACAGTCAGGTCTAATAGCGTGTGTTGATATCCAGTGCATCACTTCGTGATACAATGCTATCATCACTTTTTTCTTTTCACCTTTCTATCAATGTCAATGATAAAATCTGTGATGGAATTAGAGAGTAAAACGATGACAAAAATGATCTCAAATTCATTTCCCACAGAACAGTTTAAATGGAGAGTTATATAGCTCATGACCTCAACGTATGTGTCTTCTGAATGTGGGCAGCCCTAGAAACCCCTATCTGGTTTTCATTGAAGTCATGCCACACATATATATATATATATATATAATTACCTAGATTTTGACTTGATCTAATTACACTTCTGGCCGCTTCACATTATTCAAAATTTGGTATTCACCGTCTCTGAATTTGTTCACATATCATTTATCGCTTTTATTATTTATTATTATTAGTCCCTTGGGTTCGTAGTGGAACATAGGGCTTCAGTAGCACGTCTCCATTCCACTCTGGTCTGTGAAATCTTTTGAACCTGGTTCCACGACAGCCCACAACCTCTCATTTCCTCCTCACACGATCTCCTCCATGTCACCCTCGCCTCGGACGCCCAACTTGTCGCTTCCCATGGGGATTCCACTCGAGTACCTGGCCTGACGCCTGATGTCCTCAGTCGGCCTTCTCAGTGCATGCCCAATCCATCTCCACTTCCTCCTGCATATTTGTTGGGTGATAGGTTGTTGGTTGGTTCGTTCCCAGAGCTCCTTGTTGCTTATTCTTTCTGGCAATCCATCTGATCTTCAGTAGCGAGAGAGCGTAAGCAGTTGTTGATGAATGTCTGTAGTTTATTGGAAATCCCTTTCGTGATGCGCAGGCAAGTCTCTGAACCACACAGAAGCACTGACTTGACTGAATTGGTGTTGAAAATCCGGATGTTGTTCCACATGCTGAATGGAGTGCATTAGATCTCCACACTGGTTTCAGGCTAATGAATGCCTGTCTTGCTGTTTTTCCGATTCTGACTGACTTTGACCTCCTCGTGTGTGCTTGTGCCGCCTGTAGTTGAAACAGTGCTTCCTAGATAGGTGAAGGAGGTTACTTCCTTTAAGTTTCTCCCGTTGATGGTGATTGGAGTTTGTTGTTGTTGTTGTTGGTGGTGGTGGTGCGGTATCTTTATCACCTCTGTCTTCTCTATATTCACCTGAAGTCCATTTATCGCTTTAGTTTGGTATAATTTCAACTTTTTGCGGGGTCATACTCTGACTAGTTAAACACACTCTAGACAATCGTCAGAGTAATTCATACGACAGGTATTCATGAATAGTATTGATTAAAAGACAAAAACGTAAGGAAATATATTTCTTGTTGTAAGCTTCTCTTCAACTAAATTTAGCATTGTAAATCTCCTATAGTTTAAATGATTTATTGTTAATGGGTTTAAACTTCGATCACATCTCATCTTATTTCAATGTTCATTTTACTAGTCTTCCCTTCCTTCCAACTTTGTTCTGTGGATGTCGAAAACCATAATCCTATCGTGTTTCATTCATTTTTACTACTTAATTTCTGAGAAAAAATTATCAATGTACAATCACTTTTGTTTCAATCACACTAAAAATCATACTACTAACCATACTGTAATACACTTATTGGAATAACTTACTACATAGTAAAATTTTTCAATAAGAGTTATGATGAAATGTTTATTGATTTTGTAAAAAATCTAATAGCCTACAGCCGATTATCAATAAAGCAATAGTTCTAATAGCAGTCAATATTCATGTCATATAACATTTCTGCATTAATGGTAGTATATATATCATGTACATAATTCTCATTGATTGTTATTGGTGTTTTGTCTTCCCCTCTTTCTTTCTTTCTGTTAACTTCATTGATCCAGTCGAATGTAACACGTGAATTTTGGCCTGAGAAAGTTGATGAACATCGACTACGTATGCATGAAGAGCTTAGTCAGTTATTGGCACCATGTATTCAACAAGTTGTAGAGCTAGCTAAACGTATCCCTGAGTTTAGTTCACTCGGTCAACCGGATCAATTGGTGTTAATTAAAGCTGCATTTTTTGAAGTATGGCTTGTTCAAGCTTCACGTTTAATATCAACACATGATCGTAAAATTACACTTGCCGATGGAAAACAAGTTACAAAACAAGAATTGGATTTTGTGTACTCCGTAAGTGATAAAAATCTTTTTTTTTTCTAACATGTGTTTTTTCACGCCCCTACAGTATTTAACAGTTTCGGTGATGATTGATGCTCAGTTTAATATGTTTTGAAGTGAGGTTGTGCAATATACCATAGATCAGTATACCATCAAACATCTGATCTATGAGCATGAGCAGCGTATGAATGCAAAAGGGGTACTCTTCAACCGGACTGATAGCTGCCACCTTGACGTGGTGGTCGGGTTAGCATTTCGCAATGACTGAACGAGCTATGTTAGTGGAACATTTGTTTTCTTAAGGTCCTACCATACCAGGACAGGATTGAGACAACAATATGGTATTTCTTGTAGATTATCAGGAGTGCCATGCTCACACTCCCTTCCCTACGGAAAAGGAGGATTGGAAAGGTCAGCTCTAAAATTAACACACTAGCCTTTACCCTGCAGAGTACTGGAGTTGGTGATATGAGTGCATAGTCGAATTCGAAAAAGCAGAGTAAAATCTCAAACTTCTAATAATTCCTTGTGTGACTGGCTTAAAGCAGATATCTTAGGGATTTTGTGTACATGCACCAACCTTTCTGTCTCAGGTATCTTAAGAGGAACTAACCTTAGTGTAGGCTGCCGAGAAGTGTTAACTGAACTAAAAGCTCTGTTGGTCTTGAATTTCCTTCAGGTTGTCAACTTTCAATATCCTTACCTTCTAATCTTCCTTCACATCTCTCGGTCAGCTTTAATTTCTCTCAGCTCTGCAGCTATCGAAAACAATCTGAATTCGCGAAACAGTATCCCTGATATCCTAAAACTGCACTCCAAACTACACATTGGAGCTTTCAATGTCTGCACCGTCCGTTAAATCGGCCAACAAGCTTCAATAGTTAACACTTTGGTATCTCCTCAAACCGTGAATATCCGCTGTTTGCCAGGATCTGAGTCCCTTTATTCACTTTAGGTCACTCGGTCAATATGATGAACTCGGAAAATTCGCCTCTCAAGCCTCAGTAAGCTCGGTTGTTAGCGCCGACAGTTTTGCAGACGTAGGTAAAGCATTAAATGCTAAGGTAAAGTGTGCACTGCTTGACTGGGTTTCAGTTAACAGTCACCCCTGCACTGTTCGACTGAATGATGCACTGTGAACTAGAAGCAGCAGCGAAGCTCGCCGTCGTCTCTGCTTACGTACCTACTGACTGTTGCTCGGATGAAGTGAAGGAAGAGTTCTACCGAAAACTGTCTAGCCTCTAACTGGAAGCCAAACATTCTAGTGTTGTTGTTGCTGCAGGTAAATTCACTGCACAAATAGGTAGGCTAATTCATATAGAAGGGCTGTTAGGTGGAGCTTTCGAAACCCAGACTGATGAACAGATAACGGTGGCCTCCTGCTACAAATATACCCGGACAGTCATCTATTTCCAACTAGCACAAACTTCGGACATAAGTACGGACAGTGTCTGACATGGCATTTACTCAGTTCAACTAAGCGGTGGACACAGACAGAATATATTACTTTCATTTAGCGCTGGAGAGGGTCAGGGGAAGACTGCCACTCCCTCTAGAGCACACAATTGTACAGAGATCACCCGTTTCTGCTAGACATTGAGAATACTAAGGCTGTTTTCAGCAAGAAACTGACTAGACGGTTTTCAGAACAGAATATCACTCATTCGGAGGAGGTTCGACTCCGTCTCCAGTCTGCTGTGAAGAGTGCGTTAAAGACGGCCGTTGACTGTCACAAGGTGACTAGAAAGAGTCAGTGAACCTCGGTAGCTTCTTCTGAATAAATTGATGCATGTTAATGCCCGTAACGAAGGCATTTAAGAATGGTGGTCGAGGATTACTGGCCAGACTAACTAAAATGTTGGCTGACGTGTGGGATTCAGACTGTCCCTTTTGAGTGGTCTCAGTTACTGGTTACCCCAGCTTTCAGGCAATAACAGATATCCTCTTGTGATAACCAGAAAGGAATCACTCTGACGAACATAGTGCGTATGATCCTAGGTCTTATTATGATCTAACACCTAAGTGAAGCTTCGTAACAGCAGATCAGAGAAAACCACGCAGGTTTCAAACCTGACTCTGAGTGCATCGTCCAAACATGCACACTCTACCAATTATTGGAACACAGGTACACTTACCGACACCTGAAAGTGGCTATATTTCTTAGCCTGAAGGCTGCATTCGACTCCGTCAATCGATAGGTCTCTTGGCAGTTTATCTGACTGGAAAGGATGCCAAGTAAGTACATCACTCTTCTGAAAACTCTGTGATCGAACACCCCTTGATGTGTTAGAGCTCACAGTGAGTTATACATGTTCACTCTTTCCATACTTATTAAACCTTATCATAGATTTGCTTATGAGGTATTCTCTGTCGTCATCTGACTTGACTGGGAAGCCCTTAGCAGATCTGGAGTATATAGGTGACACAGTCATTTTAAATGAAGATCTTAACAACATGCCAAGTCTTCTGGATGCATTAGGGGCAATTTGAGAGTGTTTCAGACTCGTTTCTCACCACCCAAACGTATACTGTTGCCCCAGGGCTGGTTATTAATGGTGTCTAATCTTACAATAGGGAATGGAGCGTTTTAGTGCTTACCTGGGAAGTCGAATCAACCATGGTGAGTTGTTGGCCAACGGAATCTCTTCATGGATACGAAAGGCTCGGTTGGCTTTCACCAACTAATCCATTTATGGTGCCACCATGATATTCCAATGCTTATTAAGAGTCGAGTTTACTGTACTCCAATTCTCTCTGTTTTACTATATGATTGTGAAACATTGTGAACATCAGAAGGATTCAGCCTTTTCCTTCATAGCATATGACTACGTGTTACCATGTCAGTAACGTAGCAGTCAGGTGTATAGGTTTACGGAGGGGAAGAAAGTCAGTGGTTGGGGTTGTAAATCTTCGTCGACTCAGGTGGCTGGGGCATATGTTACGCATACCTAGTCACAATTTGCCTCGTCGTGCAATGTTGAATCACCGTTACTATTATCTCTAGTCTATTTTCATCCATTTGTGAAACACGTGTTCTTCACTGATGCTGACCGCTATGAGTCTAATGTTAGGTGTATATGCATACTTTTTTTCTAAGTTCTTACTAAACAACCAAACTAAGTGTAATTTAATCATCTTCGATGATGGCTCATGCAGTTAAAATGAGACTTTAAGCTTCGAGGATAAATAGTTGAAGAACATATGAAGACAAATTCACTGTTGTAATGTAACTTCGATTTATTCAAAAGTAACAAAACTTATCAAATAGGCTAAAATGAAAAGTCAGTATAGGTATTTCAAAAGTGCTTAGTATACGATGAGAGTGACACATGTGGATGTTGACCCTGTTGTGCAAATCTGTTATGCTGTCCAGTGAAATTAAAGCTTTTGGTTTAACACTAGTATTGGCTTCGAGGAAGTAAACACTATATTCTGTTGGCGTAAATAGATAGTTGGAACCTACCAACACAAATGCATAGCTTACTAGCCAGAGGTTACTTGAAAATCAGTTGACCCACACTACGAATAAGCGCATAAAATGGATATCTCAAATTATTCAGCTTGAAATTCATCCTGGTTGACTCGGGTAAGCGAAAAAAAATCTAAAAAATGATATAAAATATTAACAGGAGAAACCGTACATCTTCGAAAGTCAATCAGTTACACTGTTATTTTATTACCTACCAGAAGTATCTTTCCAGATAAGTAAAGAACTGATTTGGTTAAAGGTTATTGTTACTGTGAATGTAAAATGTACATGCAGATAGCTCTATGCTAATATTTATTCTACTTAACATTCGTTTCATGTGATTTGCTTGGTGACTGATGATGGTTGTACATTTGAAGTTCATTCAGTATTGCATGTCACATAATTCAACATTTCATTGAAACATAAGTTTCAAGTTTCATCTGAAGATTGCCTTTAATTCCATATCTCCATTTAACATCTTATCAGTTACCTGCTTTCATGTATCTTGATTTCAATGAACCCAAGACACTAATATGAATTAAATAGTATTAAGTAGGAAAATATCTAATAAGAGAAACGTAAGCCTTACAATCTCAACACTTGAGACCTAGGTATTGGATACCTGTTATGTTACGCTGGCTTCTTAGGCTAGAATTTATCCAAGAACCATATTTCCCTACTTCTTTACTTTATCGTATGATGATAAATCACATCTATAGGTTTCTATGCTTGACTCTACGCATTAACGGCGATTTCTTTACTGTCACCCACTGGATATTCGTCTACTTCTTATATCATATGATAAAAGAAATTGGTCATTTAACTGTTGTAAATCGACAATCATTCTTCTGATAGTTGTTTCCCGCTTTGAAAGTGATAGCTGGTTCAACTCAGACAAATAAAAAGAAAGACCTTATCATCATAAAACTTGGCACTAATACATAGCCATGTAATTTTCCACACACACTACCACATCAGTTTAGCTGGTGTCAGCGGGAAGACGAAGAAATGAAAACAGCATTATCTTTATGCGCAGTAATGTTGGGCATTGGCTAGTAGTAGAATCCAGGGTGCGCACTTCTTCCTATTTGGGACTCGTCAGCTGGAAGTACCTGCCTCCCAGTGAGTAGTGTTGTTCCCATCGGGACTCGGGAGTGACCCCTCCAAACGCCAGAGCGTTACCCACTACACCACGGAGCCACGATAGCAACTGCCCATCATTACTATACATAGTTAAAAGACAAGCAATATCTAGGCATCTGCACAGGAGCCGATATGCCAACAGAGACTGATCAATTCGGTACAATCAACGACGTTGTAATACAAGCAACAACACTAAGCGTTATCTTAAGTTGAAGGAAACTGTAAAACGAAACCTAAAAGGGTTTAAATCAAACAAAGAAAAAGTATGAATTCATATTTGTCAGGTTGGTTGGTTTCGAGCAATTTCACTGAGTCTTTAAAGCATCGCTTTCGGTTTATTTGTGAATGCCAGCCACAAAGCTTATCTTACCCTACCTAATTCATACTGATAAGCAGAGAC